TTCATTCTTATGCGGATCAGGTAACTTTCAGGGTTGATCATCAAACTCTTTCCTTCTTGTCTTTCAATAATACACATCCAAATTGTTGGACTAAATGATCTGAATTTTCATTCAACACTAACAAGCAAAGAAAAAACATAAAACATCCTATCTCATACAAACTGAAAACTTCCACAAAAACCAAAATACAAAGTATAACCCGTTGTCAACTCGTCCTACAAATCTGTAACCAACTTTTGAATAAAATTAGAAATACATCTTTTATTCTCCACGTAATTCTAATTTGCACATTCAAGATCTTCGACACCCATCAGAGACCTCATCTCGATGAACTTCACTCGCAGCAATGGTTTTGTTAAAATGTCAGCCTTTTGTTGATATCCACTCACATGCTCCACACTGATTAAACCCTTCTCCGCACATTCACGTATGAAATGAAACTTTGTGTCGATATGTTTACTCCTACCATGAAAGACTGGATTTTTCATCAGTGCTATTGCTGATTTGTTATCCACGAGTATTTTAACTCTCTGAGGTTCCATACCAGTCAACTCCTTGATCAAGCTTCTCAACCACTTAGCTTGACATGTTGCAGCGGTAGGTAGCGGCCATAAATTCAGCTTCACAAGAAGACAATGCCACTGTACGCTGTTTTTCCGAGGACCACGTAATTGGGTTTCCTAAAAATAGAAAACCATCCCATTTATCCCTTTTCTATCATCCAAATCCATGCCATGACTGTTGTCACTATACCCAATTACTTTTCCATCACCTCCTTTGCGATAATACAGATTGTAATTCACTGTCTCTCTTATCTATCGCAAAATCTGTTTCACTGCTTTTAGATGTCTTTCCTTCGGTGATTGCATATACCTACTTGCCACTCCAACCGAAAAAGCAAGATCAGGTCGGGTGTGAATCAAGTAGCGCAAACTTCCAATTATGCGTCGATAATTAGTGGCATCTACAAGCACACCACCATCATCATCCTTACTTAAATTAATCCCTGGTCCCATTGGCCACTTTGAAGAGTTGCACTCACCCATTCCGGCTAACTGAAGTATCTTCTTTGCATAACCTCTTTGACTGATTTTGATTCTCCAATTGTCTTGATGCACTTCAATTCCAAGATAGTAGACAACTTACCCAAATCACTCATTTCGAATGCCTTGCACATTTTCTGTTTGAAATCTTCAATATGCTCTTTGCTTGACCCTGTTACGACCAGATCATCCACATACACTTCAACAATCAACACAGTGTTTGCTTTCTGAGATTTAGAAAATGCTTGTTCCTGGGGACACCAAGTAAATCCCAATTCTTTAAGCGTTTTATCAAGGAGAATATTCCATGCCCTTGTTTCTTGCCTTAGACCGTAAAGTGCCTTATTCAATCGATAAACCTTGTGTTCTTTACCAACAATAATAAAGCCCTCTGGTTGAGAAACATAAACCTCTTCTTGCAACTAGCAGTTTAGAAATGCCGACTTAACATCAAGATGATGAACTTGCCATCCTTCCTTAGCTGCAAGTATTAACAACATTCTGATTGATTCCAATCGAGTCATTGGTGTGAAGACTTAATTGAAATCCACCCCTTTTCGCTGCATATATCCTTTCGCAACCAGTCGAGCCTTGTGCTTTGTTACATTACCTTCAACATCCTTCTTTAATTTAAACACCCATTTTAGTCCAATGGGTTGGTGTCCCTCAGGTACATCCATTAGGCTCCAAGTTTTTTTTTTTTTTTTTCTTTCAATCAATCTAAGCTCAAGCTTTATCGCATTTAACCAGTTTTGATCAGAAGCAACCTCTTCCAAAGTTGATGGTTCCTCGGCGGTAAACAATAGTTCTTCCGATTTAGCTTGCACTGGTTGCAACTAATCATAAATATCTGTAAGACTTCGATACCCACAAACTGGTGTGTGGCCGAAATTAGAAGATTTCAGTTCTCGACTAGCATCAGATGAGGTGCTTGATGTGCTGGTTGTAAGTTGATTTACTAACCTTTTTGTATGTCTGACACATCCAAAAACTTTCACATGCTGAAGAGTCGGTTTCCTTCCCTTCCATCCTTCATACGGAGTCTTATTCTCGAATCCTTTTGTCGGAACTCGGTTAAGAAAATACACGGCATTACGAACCGCCTCCACCCACAAGAACTCTGGTACATTCACAGTCTTCAATAAGGATCTTGCAACTTCAAGAATAGTTCGATTTTGCCGCTCTACTACCCCATTTTGCTGTGGTGTGTAAGGGGAAGTCAATTGATGTTTGATCCATGTCTTGTTACAAAATTCAGAGAACTGATTAGAGGTGAACTCACCTCCTCTATCAGTGCTTAGTGCCTTCGCCTTGTAGGAGCTTTCATTTTCTACCTCAGCTTTAAATTTCTTGAATGAAAGGAATTCTTCATCCTTTGATGTTGCAAATAAACCCACATGTATCGACTAAAATCATCTATAAATAATAGAAAGTAGCGGTTACCTCCAATTATCTGTGGTGATATCGGGCCGCATATGTCAGTATAGATTAATTCCAATGGTAAGGTTGCTCGCCATTGCAGGGTTGAAGGGTTTGCTTAGCAATCATGCAGCCTTCACACACTTGAGTGGGAAATTTGATGTTGGGTATACCACGCACTAATTCTCTTTTCACCATCGATTCTAATACTCGAGAAGTTATGTGACCGAGTCTCGTGTGCCATAGCCACCCATTGTCGTCAATGCTTGTATTTAAGGACACTGGTTGAGCAATTTGGAGTGTGATCTTGTACAACTGATTCATGGTTCGTTGCACTTTCATAAACAATCGTCAATTTTCATCACGGAACTTTAAATAATCATTCATCATCTCTACTTTGTATCCAATTTATGTCAATTGTCCAAGGCTGAAGATATTGTTGTGTAGAGCAGGTATATAATACACATACGACACTATAATTTGCTCTCCATTTATGCAATGCAATAAAATTGAGCCCTTTCTTTCTATTTGAACCGTAGACCCATCTCCGAAGCGCACTTTCCAAGTCACATTCTCATTAAGTTCAGCCACGTGTTCCTTAATACCAGTCATATTGTTGCTCGCATCATTGTCGAGATACCATGCATCCTCACTCGACCTTATCATTGTTACTTCCTGGAGACACTCTGTCTTCATTCAACAACACCTTCATTGTTGTCTTGTCCTCATAGAAACCCAACAGAAGGTATGGTTCCTCATCTTGAGTTTGACTCAAATTTACTTTCTGGTTTTCCCTTTGGAGCTTTGCATTCAGATGCATAGTGACCGTACTCTTCACAATTAAAACACTTTATGTGATTCTCATTTCTTGGTTTGTAACGGCTGTACCTAAATCTCGTTGTCCACTATTAATTTCTCGACCACCTCTACCACGGCCTCTGCCACGACCACCATTTTGACCCCATCTATCACCATGTGTAGAACCACGGCCTTTGCATCCTGATGGTGAGAGGTATTTGCCTGAAATCTTTTGACTGGAACCTGCAGACTTTGTAAGCAACAAACTTCCTTCGTTGCAACAAATTTCTTTCATTGCTTGTATTTTATTGCGCACTCTTCATAAGAAGCAAATAATACTAATTGATATAGTTTTTTACATATCTTTGTATGTATAAATTAAAAAATATATAAGATTTTTTAAAAAATAGATGAAAATTAAAATGCATATGTTTTTCAGACAAAAATATATATACTATATATATAAATGTTCTTACTTATTTATTTATTATTTTCTCTCTACTCATTTATTTATTATCTTCTTTCTACAAGTTACTTATCATTAGTTCTTACCCTACATAACATACTCTCTACAAGTTACTTATCATTAGTTCTTACTCTACATAACATACTATTTTTGCGTTTGACTTTACCATTGACACTGTATTTTAGGTAGCATCATTTTGGTATTTAATGAATACTTGTACGATGAAAAATACATATGGTTTTATCCAATATATGGTTTTTTTTCTTTCTTTATTTTCTTTTTTTTTTGAGCTACATTAGAATTTTTCAAGAGGCTATCCATCCTAAAATTATTTTCGCCCAAACATGTTTACTTCAGAATTCTAATAGTGTCCGATGCATTGGCTTCAACTATTAACTAAAGGATTTTTTATTTTATTCTATTTATATAGATTACATAATATAATTTTATGAGTATAATAATTATAAAGAGAAAAAGTATGTTGAATCTGTTACATTAAGACCTAGGAATATCAACAAATGTGCTCTCCTTTCTCTCCCTCGCTAACGTAACAAATGCTCATTTTTCGTGTGAAAATGTTGTTTGTGATATACTCTCAGTAACAAAAAGTATTTATTGCGACAAATTTCGTAGATCAATGCCTTTTAAAAACACATGGGAAAGTTTTTGTTACAATTTTTTTACTACCAAAAAAAGGATTTTTTGTAGCGGTAAAAAATCTGTAACAAAAACCCTTTTTTTTTTTTTGTGCAAAATAGCCTTTTGTATCGACTTTGTTGCGGATATTGACCCCTACGAAAAATTGCGGTACAAAAAGTCTATGTTGCGACAAATTTCGTAACAAATAAGTGGTGGTCAACCCTCAAAATAAATACATGTTAATTGTATTTGTTTTGTTTTTTGTACGTACAAAAGCATCGATCATATTTTTGGAACAACATATATACGTAACAAAAAATTTGAAACAAAATTTGAATCTCGTCAGAGGACTATTTGTTACGACATATTTTCAGAACAACAAATGCGGTGCAAGTATGGAATCTTGTCAGAAAATTTTTTGTTGCAATCTTTGTCCATAACAAAAAATGCATTATGACAGTAGTGTCCTGTACGAGAACTGTTTGTTACGAAATTTGTCCGCAACAAAAAATTCGGTAAAAATGTAATGTAAATGTAAAACATGTTTTTTACTGGACATTGTCTATAACTAGAAGTCCGCTATCAAAGGTGTCAATGCCTCAAAAAAGGATTTTGTCACCACGAATAAAATCCAATTGTCTAAAGTATTTGTTATGGATCAATCTGCATCACAAATAATTTAAAACATAATTTTATCATAATTAATCTAGAATCCTTGTTCATACCTGCAGAACAACATCAATCCAACAATATTCATATTCATGTCAAAAATAGAATACTATTCGTCAATTGTGCTTTAAAGCATCTCCAAAAATCACCATGCCATACACCATAACAACCAACTAACAACTTCCTAACGCTTGATCAACAAATCCAAAAGTAATACGTGAATAAATAAATATGGTATCAAACTGCAGTACAATCCTAAGGTCAACTAACAAACACAGCTATGAACGACCAAGCTCATCGAATTCAAAATCACAGAGGAAGCAATCAAAGGCGGCGAACCAACTGCAATGTGTTTCCAATGATATATAAGAATTATATCACAAACTCAAGTAATTTAATTACCAAAAGATTAAACATTTAAAAAAAAAGTATAGATCCTTGCAAGTACACTTTTATCTCCGTCGAGTACCTCATCAAGGATCTTTACTCCGGCATTACTTGGGAGAATAAGTGCGGTCTTCGGGACCGTAACATCGGTAACAAATCCCTTGACAATGGCTAGGGTATCATCTATATAAAAACGTAAACCCAAAGCTAGTTATGAGAAAATATGATATCTCTAAACAACATGGATGAATATAATAAAATATATAAATATATCAAGAAAATGGTAGCAATGGAAACTTCGTAATAATATAAAAGTTATCATTCAATTTGATCCATGGACACTATCTTAAATATGAATATAGCAATGTCTACAACCGAAAGTACTAATCAAGAAGGCATACCACCAAACATTAGGAAGATAAATCACTTTAGTTAAATTGAGCCTAACCCAAAGAAACCAAAATCTATTGGCAAGAATCAGAAAATCTACCTCTTTGGATAGCAGTTAACTAACCCTTCAAATACACCATTATCATAATATATATTCTTAAAATAGTTTATTCATTACAATAGCCTTATCTAGCAATCTATGTATAAATATTGCAGGTTGTAGGTGACGTGGCATATATAAGTTTGACATTGGAAAATGTTATGGATTACAAAGGTTTTCTAGCTGATAGGACCAAGGCTAGCGGTTGGGTGAAAATTAGATTCAATAAGTTAGTTCAACCCCAACCTAACTTTGACATTGGATAGATAGATATTGATAACATTTCTATAATTTTTGTGTAAAATAATAGAAAGAAAGAAACTCATCACCACTTGCAATTCTCCTTTACATTTTGAAGTGGGATGAATATGCATATATAAATCTATAAATATCGTAGGACCTAACCAAAAGAAAATCACATTCCATTTTGATTGATATTTATTTTGTTGGCAACCATGATTAAGGCATAAATCTAGATAGCTCAAGAAAAAGAAAAAAAATGGTACAAATGTATTATTTATTATTCAGGTATTAGAGAAAACACTGAATATAAATTTTGAAGATTAATTAATTTCAATAATCACATTAATACTTGGAACAAAATGCTACTATCAATATATTTTATGAAACCATAAAGTTTTCAACAATTAAACTGAACCTAATAGTACAAGTGTAAGAAACAGATCAATTAGGCAACCAAACATTCAAATATTAGAGGGGCTATCATAAATAGATCAATAATACTTTCCTTCCGGATGTACCTAAGCAGATGAGAAATTGAAATTTCCACAATCAATACTCATCTGCACTTAAAACACACACACACAAAAAAAGTATTTAGCAGTAATTAGATATAAATGTTACAAGAAGTAATTAGTCAAATGCAAAATATATTTACCAAAACCTTTGATTTTTCCATAACTTTGACAACTTCAGTAACATAACATTCAAGGAACTGCAACTCTTCCTTTAATGATCTCACTGAACATCGAACAGACAAAAACACACACATGTATATGTATTTATTAAAGTTTTGTGTATTTTCAAGTGTGTATTTGCTATTATGCAATCCACAGTAATCCTTTTTTACCTCAAAATAAAATAAAATAAAAATGGCAGCTATGTCTTCACCAACCTAACAACCTTCACATTCAACTTTGAAAATCAAAGTTTTAAAAGGTGATCAATCAAAGAACAACATTGAATTTGATGCCCAGACCAAATGACAAAATAGCAAAATTCGACCATACACCACTATTTCATAGATTAGCATTCAAATATAGAACAATATTAACCAAGCCTACAAATTCACTTCATAATACTTTATGTTTAATCAACTGTGGTTTTTGTTTTTTCTGAAGAACATAGTAGCTCAATTTCACGTAGCAGAGAATAGTATTCTGCATTTACAAATAATCAGATACAAAATATGGTTATAGTAGTTGAGATCAATATGAAATGCATTCACGAGCAAAAAAAAGTAAAAGCCAAATTTCAATGGCACATAAATAATTCAGGTTTGATTAGATCATTGTCTTATTAAAGCAACATACCATACGTATTCCAGGGATATCTAGAGCTTCATCCGAAGATCCGAAACATCTTTGTACCTTGATGAATTGAACCAACGTTGAGCAAAGTTTACAAGGTAAAGCCAGTAAGGGTAAGTGAATTGCAGATATAAGTACCAATAATAAAGAAAAGAAAAGAAAGAAGGGGGAAAATGTAAGCATGGTTCGCCTATAGTACAATAGCACCGAGCAAATGCCAGATATCAATTCATCGGCCTCTAAGTGACCAAAATTATGTAATGCATGATCGGACAGCAATAAAAGTGTCTATATGTCAAATATGAAATTCAATAAAGCTCTTATCATATCAATGTGAGAGCTCAAAATGTTTACCTTCCTTACACAAAATTATATCTTATTTCCAACTCTATCTAAGCATATTCCATGGGAGAAACCAAAGAATGAACCCAAATAATTTTTCCGGCTAAAAATAGCTAATAAAAGCACAAATAAGCTCCTAGCCAAAAGAACACACATTATATGAAAGAAACACAAAATATGTTCTAGTATGTAATTGCTCCATATTCCTTGCAGCAAATTGTCATAAACAAGCACACAGGTGAGAAGGTATTGACCCGTCTGCGTATACTATTTTGATTATCACTTCCTTAATCAATCCTAAAAATCATTTATCAAACCCTAACGTTACTACTTCCACATTTCCAGTATAATAAATTAAAAACTAAGGCACACCAATGGCTGAATCCAGAATAAAATGCAGCAATAATAAAAATGGAGCTGCCGTTGCTGCTGAAACTTCTGCCCGAGCAAAATTGGAGGGCATACCTTATTCCTTATTCTGTTGGAACAGAGGTGCCGCTGCTACTGTAATGACAGATTCGAAGAAATCCACTCGCAGAGGGCATACCTTATTCCTTCCAGTGTTGGGAGTAGATTGAGACAAAAAACTATTCTCCTTAAGCATATATAAATAAGATTTACACTATGAACAAACTAATACAATCTTTCTTCTACAAATGCCGCTAATTCACTCCAAAAACTCAAACTTTACAAATGCCACTAATCCTATCCAAAAACTCAAGGAAGCCCTCGTATGACTTCTTTTATACCCATTAGATTTATGTAATTACCAACAAAATAATTTCAATCATAATGTTATCCAAAAGTCACAAAATCGAATTTCAAGAAGTAGATGCGGAAACCTAGGTTTTAAATCCAAAAACCTATGTTCCAATAAATTGATTGAACAAATTAATATCAACTAGATGAGTATTATACTATAAAAAAATCTCAAACACACAAACACGTTAGGTTAACCAATTGTTTTAACTTACCCATCAATTTTGTGCCCTAAAACGTAGAGCGAATGAGGGCCTTCGAACCTAGGCGGTGAAGGTTGACAGCTTACGGTTGTTTCTGGGCTACTTTTCACCAGTGATGGCGGAGCAAGGGTGGAGGCGATAGTGGAGAATAGGTGGACGAGTCCGATCGGAGTTTGTCTACAATTTCAACGATGGAGAGAAACAATAAAATTTTTGTAAGTATTTTGATTGCATATATGTTGCTTTTTTTATTGTATATATGTTGCTATATGATTCATGGTAAGCGTGTCCTTTCTTTGTTTTTTAGAAAATAATTTTATATTAAATTTTTGATAATTTTTTTAATTATAATATTGACTTTCCTTTTTTGTTACGGTGTGTGTGTCTTGCGCAACAAATATATATAAGATGATTTTTCGTCAAAATTGTATTTGTTACGGATAAATTATCAGAACAAAAGAAAAAAAAAAGGGTTGACCATCAAAAATATTTTTTGTCTCGACATAACTCGTAACAAAAACCACTTTTTGTGACATAATTATTATTATGGAACATTAGCACGCTACAAAAGCTCAATTTTTTGGTAGTGAATTTGTATGTGACAAACGAATAGAACTTGTTTTTTAGCTGAAACTTAGCCATAACAAACGATGTGGGGAAAATGCTTCCACTCCGTCAAAAATTACTTTCCCTGATGATCTACAAATTTTAGACATTACGTTTAATATCCAAACATTCGCCCTAATAAAACATCCACTCGCTATTTGTCTTGTTCTTCGATTCCGCTAGCTATTCTTGTTCTTCGATTTGGTGAGTATTTCCTAAATCTATTGCTTCCACTCACTATTCTTGTTCTTCGATTTGGTACACTCACTATTTGAGTTCATTTGCAAGGGCAAAACGTTATACTCGCTGGAAGCAAGATCCACTATCCATGCGCTTTGCTTCAATCCTAACAGAGGTAATGGCTACCCGACCAAACATTATCTTAACTGAGAAAGGCCAATGCTAGGAAATTTACTTGTAGTAGCCTTTATCTTATGTTCAGAATGTAGCAACAATTAATATTGATTTTGCACTGTTCGCCAAGGTAGCTTAGTGAGACCCCCTTGACAATGCTTTTAGAGATTTATTTAATTATTTTTCCCATTAAATGGGAAGGTTTGATGATCTTTGGAAATTATATATGTTTGTTTCTTGATAAGCTCAGTAGAAATAGAATATGAATAGTATTTCATGGTTGATTGTCCGTAATGCCCATGTTCGTTTATGCTTGTGATTTTAGCAGTAGGATTTCACTATGTTTTGTTTCTTAAGCAGTAAATAAATCTGCATTTGTTGAATGACCAATATCTACAAATGAGGCGCCTATGTCTGAAAGGTTTCAAAACCATGAGGTGAAATCTATACAGCTAGATCTAAATAAACCTGTCAAGAATAATTTTAAGTTGCAGAAAACTCATTGGCCACTTATTCTTTGTTTTTTATTTAAATCATGTAAAGCTGTTAGGCCTGTTTCTTTCCCACCTACAATGATTTGGCCACTTATTTTCAGGTTTCTGGATTGGTTGTACAACTGGTTATGGATCCATGAAATTGTATTACGGGTTAAACTGAATATAATAAATCTTGTAGTAAGATTTCAGTTGTTATCCAAAATGTTTGCAATCAAAATCATATATGGCATAGCAATTAGGGGCTATCAAATTTCTAGATGTATGAAACTTGTGTAATCTTACGATGCATTCTTCTCTATATCTTTCAATGGCACATCAAGAAGGGTCTGATACAAGTGAGAATGATTTTGTTGTGAATCTTTCTAGACACATGAGACCTGTAAGTTCTCAATGCCTGCTTTCATATTTTTGAAGGAAACTTTGCAATAAATATTACCTATGGTCAAATATACTCTTATCATTTCGTTGTTATCCTGACAAAATATATTTTATAGATGTCTTTTTTTTTCGCGATTTTCGTCCTCTGGCAGTGAATGACGGATACAATCTCATGCGCGAGGATAAAAATCGCAAAAAAGTGACACATCTTAGATATATTTTAATTGTCATCATGGAAAAATATATTCTACATGTGCCATTTTTTCGCAATTTTTGTTCTCTAACTACATGTCAAGTTTAAAACGGTGTCAGTGTAAGTGGGATAGTGCTCCGGAGGACAAAAATTGTGAAACAGTCATATCGGTAGGATATATTTTGTCACGGTGATAATTAAAGGGTAAGAATAATAATGGACCATAGGTACAAAATTTTTATTACAATTTTTTCTATTTTTGAAACTTATTATTATGTTGTCATGCGTGCGATGGGATATTATGTTTGGTTCAGGTTTGTGGGCTGGAGTTCAATTCTCTTTAAATAGAATATACTCGGTATCAGATTCTAGATAAATATGTTTAATTAAATATTTTTTATTTTTGTTATAATTGAACAAACATTTAAAAGTGTTCATTTTGGGTTGTGGTGTAACCTTGTTTCATTCATAAGAAATAGTAGTAGCTGAGTTTGGGCTTTCACAGAAGGCTTCCAACATCTGTTAGATGTGCAAAAGCTTAGATACTTCGAACCCCTGCAGTGCACTTCTCCCATTATTATAACGAGTTGGAGTTTTATTCTTGCAACCTCATATATACCCTATTGGTCTTAATAAGTGTTGGACACTCATATATGTCTGTCTATCTATATATATTCGTATAGATAAGTCTTCCAGGAAGCATAAGAAGAATTGCAACAAGTAACCTTGCTTCAAGAAATTAAACATTGGAAAAAAAAAAAAAAAAAAAAAAAAAAAGAAGATAAGCTTAGTCATTCATGTACTTGCAACTATAATCATTTTGATGTGCTAGTTTCACTATGGATTACAATAAGATGATTTCAAGTAGAGTTTATTTGAGTAAATATCTCTAGCCAGTGCTAGCATTTGAGTTGTGAAAATTTCATCGCGTTCGGTGTCATAAATACTTATTTCCATTTTAATTGTGTTTTTGATATGGGGTGGGCGCAGCCAAAAGTTTATTCACGACGAGGGAGGAAAGAGCAAGTGCTCTTTGGGCTAACTGTGGCAATGGCCTGAAGCCTAATTTTATTATTAATTACCTTAGTTCTTTATTTTATTATTTGATTATTTTGAATAAATTGTTAGGCTGGTCGGGCCTAGGCCCATAGTCGTTTTGCCGTAGTATTTAAGTATTATTTTTAGACATTATTAGCATTCTGATTTTTTTTCAGTTTCACGGCTTCGGCTTGGTCGGGAAGAGTAGTTCTTCCTTCATTATCAATAAAGTTTAGTCTTTTGGTTCTCTTAAGTTCTCGTGTTATCAAATTGGTCCGACCTACCGGATCTCAGCGGAGGAGAATGACGCTAACAAATACGCAACGCATTGATGTTTGGAAATAAGGAGTTGTGGAAGAGAATTATAGTAGAGAGAAATTTTATTTGAAAAAAACATTGATGCTTTCTTATTTTTCAAATGCGCATACTACATGGGTATTTATAGGAAAATTATTTGTAGTTGGTAAAATTTATTAATACATTGAGAATAGTAAAAGTTGTTCTTGAATCTTCGCTGCCTTGAGAATTGGTGCGTTGGAATCCTTATTCTTTTTATTTTGGGATTGCAAATTATATTTAACACCCCCTCTTAATTTGTAATTCCAATATCTTTCTTGAACTGTTGAAACTTCTCTTCGGTGACTGCCTTCGTGAGTGCATCGGCAAGCTGTGTTGTGGTCCTAACATGCTCCAGAAAGATTTCTTTTTCTTGCACCTTTGTACGGATAAAGTGATGTCTGAGCTCGATGTGTTTTGTTCTTCCATGAAACACTGGATTCTTTGTCATGAAAATTGCTGCCATATTATCACAGAAAATTGGAGTGGGTCCATCAACTCTCTGTAACAAATCCTTCAAAATTCTTTTGAGCCAAACTCCTTCTCGAACTACTTCATTTGCAGCAATGTACTCTGCCTCCATGGATGACATAGCAACTGAATTTTGCTTCTTCGAACTCCACAAAATTGCTTTTGATCCCAACCAAAAAATGTATCCCGATGTGCTCTTCCTGTCATCTTGGCTTCCAGCCCAATCACTGTCCGTGAATCCAATCAACTCATTGTTCTCCTCCCTCAAATATTTGATGCCAAGACATTTTGTCCCTTGAATGTAACGGAGAATCCTTTTTGCAGCCGCAAAATGTGACTTGCTTGGATTGCTCATAAACCTGGAAATCAAACTTACAGCATGTAATATATCCGGTCTTGTGTGTGTTAGGTAGATGAGTGATCCGACAAGGCTCCGATAAATGCTTGGGTCGAATTTTTCTGCACCATCATCAAACTTTAATCTTTCGTTCAGAGCCATGGGTGTTGCAGCAGGCTTGCAATTCTCCATTCGAAACTTCTTTAGAATGTCTGCTGCATATTTTTCCTGGGAGATGAAGATACTTCCATTTTCTTGCTTTACTTGAATGCCGAGAAAATACTTCATCACTCCGAGATCGGTCATTTCAAACTTTCTCATCATCGTTTCTTTGAACCGTTTCACCATTGCATCATTTGTTCCTGCATAGATTAGATCATCGACATATAGGCAAACCATCAAAAAATCATTCTCACTTTTCTTCACATAGAGAGATGGTTCGGAAGGACTTTTCAGAAATCCATTTTACCGGAAATATGCATCAATCGTGTTGTTCCAGCATCTTGGCGCTCGCTTCAGCCCATACAGTGCTTTGTGTAGCATGTACACTTTTTCTTCTTTGCCTTTCGCTTCAAATCCTTGTGGTTGTTTGACGTACACCTCCTCTTCTAGTTGACCATTCAGAAATGCAGTTTTTACGTCAAGTTGGAACACTTTCAACTCCAATTGTGCTCGATTGCAAGAACAGCTCTTATTGTTTCCATTCTAGCTACATGTGCAAATGTCTCCGTAAAATCAACTCCAGGTTGTTGTGTGTATCCCTTTGCCACAAGTCGTGCTTTGTACTTTTGTATAGTTCCATCTTCATTGAACTTGGTCCTGAAGACCCATTTCAATCCAATCGCTTCTTTTCCTTCGGGAAGATCCACCAACTTCCATGTTTGATTCTTTTCGATACTTTTCATTTCATCGTCCATCGCATTTTTCCACGTTTTGTCCTTCATAGCTTCTTCAAAAGATTGTGGCTCGCATGCAAATAACGCAACATTAGATGAGTTATAAATTTCATCTAAAGAACGATACCTGCGTGGCTCTTCATCCGAATCCGATTCTTCTTGCTGAGAGTTACTGTTTGATGAATTACTAATTCTTTGGGATGATTGTTGTGGAAGAAGTGGGTCGAGCTCAATGAAGGCTTCTGTTGTTTCTTCTTTATCCCATTTCCATGTCGCGGTTTCATCAAAGACAACATCTCTTGATAGTACCAATTCCTTTGTTGATGGATTGAATAAGCGATATCCCTTTGATTCGTCGCTATATCCGATGAAGATAAGTTTTTCTCCTTTTTCATCGAACTTCTCCCTATTCTTGGATGGAATTAAAGCGTAGGCAATGCAGCCAAAAACTTTCAATTGATTTACAACGGGTTTCTTCTTGTGCCATGCTTCGTACGGTGTCTTGTCTCGCACAGCTTTCGTTGGAGATAAATTCAGAATATGCACAGCGGTGTGAACAGCTTCTGCCCAAAATTCATTCGGGAGATTTTTTTTAGTAAGCATGTTTCGCGCCATTTCTTCAATCGTCCAGTTTTTCCTTTCTGCTACACCATTTTGTTGTGGTGTGTGTCGGACTGTGAGATGCCTTTTTATCCCTTCTTTTCTACAAAACTCCATGAATGGCTTGAAGATGAATTCTCCTCCTCTATCGGTTCTTAAGCACTTTATTGCAAAGCCGCTTTGTTTTTCAGAAAGTGCTTTAAAGTGCATAAACCTTTGAAATGCTTCCGACTTATGCTCTAGGATGTACACCCACATCATTCTCGTAAAGTCATCAACAAAAAAAAGAAAGTACCTTTTATTTCCCAATGACGGTGTTCTTGTTGGACCACAAATATCTGCGTGCACAATTTCAAGAGGTGTACATGCTCTCCCTGCAACTTTCGGAAATGGGAGCCGATGCATTTTTCCATATATTCACAAACTTTTTCATAATTTCTGATTTTTGAAAGACCGACAACCATGTCCTTCTGCTGTAGAAGCTGCAAGCCTTTGAAATTGAGATGTCCATATCTCAAATGCCAAAGGTAAGTGTCATCCTCGGCAGCAGTCTTCAATGCGACATGCGACTCCATTTTGAGAGGAAAAAGATTGTTAGCCGTCATCTCCATCTGTGCTACACAGTCTCTATAATATTTGTCGAAAATTTCACACCTTCCATTGTAAAAAATAAGCTTGTATCCATTTCTCATCATTTGCCCAACACTCAAAAGATTTTGTGATATATTGGGCGAGAAATTTACATCATGGATGAATTTGTCACCTTTTTTGGTTTGAATGGCAACAATTCCTTTTCCTTCAATCATCACATTTTTTCCATCACCGAGCTCAATACGTGAGGAGTAGCTTCTATCAATTTCATGGAAATCTTCTTGATTTCCAGATAGATGGTTGCTGCAGCCGCTGTCCAAGTACCACATCGTGGCTGATTTTGTACTATCTGATCGGGAGATAAATAGCTTACATGATTCATCCCCTGCTGAGAAGTGTGTCTCTTTCTGCTTTCTCCTTGTTTGTTCTTTTGTTTATGCCAACAATATTTGTCGGCATGGTTTGGCACCTTGCATGTCTTGCATCTCCACCAACAATTTCTTGATTCGTGGCCTTTTCTATTGCACACGTAACACTCTACATCCGATTTTTCAAATTCACCTTTCCCTCTACCCCTGTTCTGAAATTTTCGGCCTCGCCCTCTCCCGGGTGCTTGACCGAAGGAAGATCCCCTCTTCCTTGTTGCAATGAATTCTTGGAAATGTGTGTCTTTACTTGAAAAGCCTGTTCTAATGGTTGGTTGTTGTAGTTGCTCATTCTTTGCTCATAGGCTTCCAAGGTTCCCATAAGTTCGAATTGAGTGAGTGTCCTGAGATTTTTCGTCTCAATGATGACAGCAATGATGTGCTCAAATTTCTGCGGCAAACTTCTCAGAATCTTCTCCACTTTTTTTTTTTTTTTTTTTTTTTTTTTTTCTGGAACTTCCTCTCCGCAACTTTTAATTTGATTGATTATTTCAGCGACTTTTGAGAAGAAATCGCGTACCATTTCATTTTCCTTCATAGACAATGTTTCAAATTGTCTCCACAAAGATTGCAGCTTTATGGTAATCACCTTTTCTGATCCTTGAAACTCTGTTTTCAGAATCTCCCAAGCTTCTTTCACTTTCTTAATGCCAAAAATTCTGGGGTAGATAGGTTTACCAACAGCTTGCTGGATAAACCGCAATGCTGTCGCATTTCTCTTCACATTTTCCTTATAATTTCTCTGCATTTCTTCTGTCCAATCTTCGTTTGTTGCATCTGGTGGTTCTTCATAACCATCTTCCACAACATCCCACAAATCTTGTGAGATGAAAATGGTCTCCATCTGCGAACTCCAGTAATCGAAAGGTTCTCCATTGAAAATGGGAATTTGGGCACCTGTATAATTGAAAACTGAATTTGATGATGAAGCCATTTTTTTTTCTTTTTTTTTTTTTAATAATAAAACCTAATGCTCTGATACCAAATTTGTTGGAAATAAGGAGTTGTGGAACAGAATTATAGTAGAGAGAAATTTTATTTGAAAGAAACGTTGATGCTTTCTTATTTTTCAAATGCGCATACTACATTGGTATTTATAGGAAAATTATTTGTAGTAGGTAAAATTTATTAATACATTGAGAATAGTAAAAATTTGTTCTTAAATCTTCACTGCCTTGAGAATTGGTGCGTTGGAATTCTTATTCTTTTTATTTTGGGATTGCAAATTATATTTAACAATTGAAGCTTTGGAGGGAGCCCTGGAGGAACTTTGAACAGGCGTGGAAGCACAACAAGAAGCATTGTCGCGCCTCGAATCGAAGGTGGATCGACAAGTGGATACTCTGAAAACAGAACTTTCCGCAGCTATGTGCGATACGATTCTTGGGCTGTTCCCACATGGGCCGCCTGCCACACCTGTTAAGGGCTCAGCGGCGCGGGGAGCTATGGCGGGAGGAGGAGAGGCAGCGGATTCGTCGACGAGGGCTGCCGGCATCAGCGGGGTAGCACGTTTGTTTAAGGATGTTGGAGGAACATGGACTGCTCCGACAACTGATTTTAAGCTCAAGGATGCGCAACTCCCTAGCTTTGATGGCCATGACCCCTTGGGATGGGTTGCTAGGGCCGAACAACACTTCGTATTGCACGGAGTTCCCGAGGAGATTAAGGTGAGTCTTGCGCGAGTCGCGATGGAAGATGTGGTGCTGCATTGGTCCCGTTGGCATATGATGAAGCATGCTTCTGCCTTCTGGATCGAATTCTCACAGGCATTAGTCACTAGGTTTGACGATCGATTCATGGGAAATCCGTATGAGAGGATGGTGACGTTAAGACAAACAGGCTCGGTTGATGAATATGTCAATTTATTCACTCAACTTGCTACTCAAGCCCAACCATTGACTGAAGCGCAAGCCTTAGGATATTATTTAGGGGGCTTGAAACAAATTATCAGAAATAAGTTAAGGGTAGTGGAGCCCCCGGATCTCGAATCTGCAATCCGCGTAAGCAGAAGCATTGAATGGGAGTTGAAAAATGGATCTGCGGTAGAATTTTACCTGCGAAAAACCTCTTCGACACTACGAAATAACCTGGTTGGGAGCTGGAAGCAGTATCTCCTCACACACAGCTGGAAGAGTAGAGAACCGCCATTCGACTAGCAGCAATATTGTGGGGGGGGGGGGGCAACGATCAGTCACTTCAGCCCCTTCCTCAAGGGGTAGCACAAGAAAATTAAGTCGCGACGAGTATCGTGAGTGTCAAGAGAAACGCCTTTGTTACAAGTGCAAACCACCCTATAGTCCACTCCACAAATGCGAAAGTAAATATCTTAATGTTGCGGTGAAGGATGATTTAGGCAACTGGGTTGCGGAGTTAAGAGAGATGAGAGAGGGCGAATTTACTGAGGAGGCGGAACCTACCATGGAAAGTGACGAACCGCCTGAGGAGGAAACAACACAGGGGGCCCTTCCTTTATACGCCTTGGCTGGATTTTCGGGACCCCGAACCATGCGTCTCTGTAGTAGTCTTTTTGGATTTAGCGTAACGGTACTAATCGACAGCGGTGCAAGCCATAATTTTATTTCCCAAAAATTGGTTCTACATGCCAAATTGAACGTAGACGCCACACAGGAATTCAACGTGGTACTAGGCGTTGGTCGTAAGGTTGCAAGTACGGGAGTATGCTCGAAATTGAGTATACAGATCGATGGAGCAGAAGTGCAGGCAGACTGTCACGTATTTCCTCTTGGTGGGGTGGATATAATATTGGGTGTCGCATGGCTCAGGACATTAAGAAAAATTCAGATGGATTGGGAAGCCTTGGAGATGCAGTTATACTCGGCGGGGCAGCAGGTGACCTTTCGCAGCGATCCAAGGCTGTATCGGGGCCTAGAAACTATTCAGAACTTGCTGGATATTATAGAGGTGGAATTTAGTGCCTTACTTTTACGTTCAGTTATCGAGAATTACCACAGCAGCCCTGAGAACGGGCCTGCAATGCTGCCGGAAATTGTGCAGATTCTTGAGGAATTCCCTGAGGTGTTTGCAGAACCGAATGAGTTGCCACCGACTCGTCATAGCGACCACCGCATTCCATTGAAACCTGGAGCAGTGCTGGCATCTGTACGCCCCTACAGGTACGGACAGATCCAAAAAGATGAGATTGAACGTTTTGTACACGATATGCTTGTTGGAGGAATCATCTGTCCCAGCACTAGCCCTTTTTCAAGCCCCGTTTTACTGGTCAAAAGGAAAGATGGGAGTTGGAGGTTTTGTGTTGACTACCGAGAGCTCAACAAATCCACCGTTGCCGACAAATACCCAATCCCGGTGATTCAAGAGATTTTAGATGAGCTTTCCGGTGCAACAATATTTTCTAAAATTGATCTTCGCTCAGGCTATCACCAAATTCGAGTGGCCCCGGAGGATGTGCATAAAACTGCTTTTCGGATTTACAGCGGGTATTATGAATTCTTAGTCATGCCATTTCGACTGACCAATGCTCTTGCCACCTTCCAGGCAACCATGAACGATCTCTTTCGACCTTATTTGCGTAAATATATTTTGGTATTCTTTGATGATGTAACACCCCCAGTTGGCTCATACTGGAAATGCTACCGCCACACTGCATCATGAGGTCGTCACCTCCTACTTCGGGCCCCACAACACAGTGTTAAGGCTAAAATTAATTATATAAGCATTTTATTATTTCCAAAAAAACAAGTTTATAAATATTTCCCAAAACGGGAGGTTTTTCTAGTTAGAATTTACATATAATACATCAGATGCAGTTCACTCATTCAGCCCGTCTTTCTATCTCCCGAGACGTCCCCTGTCCCGGAGGTGCCATGCGTACCTGAATCAAATATTTTTCTTAAAAGCAGTCTAGAATTAAATCCATTTTAAGAACTAACATAAAATATGCCATGTCATGCTCGAAAATAGAGTTTAATTTCCGTCATTTGCAAAATAAATGCCATGCCATGCCCATACTGAAATGATGTAACAATAATGTCAAAATCGACAACTCATGCACATATACCCATATACATATGTCAAAGTGAGCAGCCGGAATAACCTCGGCTCCATAATAACAGCTCACTAGACTATCATCAATAAATAGCCGGAAAATCCTCGGCTCAAGGAAGGACCTGGTAAACCCATAATAATATAACGGTCACCCGGTCACTCCCCTATACCCACCATACGACTCCCGCAATCAATACATGGATAGTCGAGCGTGGTCGCCATTAACCACAAGACACCCCATAGTCTGTGATAGCGAAGATAGGACCCTCCTGTCTAGCCCTACCCCGTGTAACGTAGTAGAATCTGTGCAACCTGGAATCACCCGAAGGAAACCCGGAAACTCTACTCCTCCTCGCACGCCCTAACGGGATCGCGTTTGGAGTTTGGCATATGATCCTAAACTACCGGTAGACCTCACTAGTAGCTACTCCAATGAGTGGAACAACACCGAACCCGAATGATTAGACCAAATACGTCTCAACTGCAATGGGTCTAATCCCTGAATGACCGTGCGACTAAGTCACCCAGTTGCCCGACTACTATCGTCCACTATCGCCAAAGTGTTACGGTACATCGGGGTCGAATATCCTAACCCCAGATGATGCCCTCGCCTAGCACTACCGCACACGGCGACTAAACGATAGATCCATAAAACATATCCGATAAATCGTGCGATGTGTGCAGCATGTCAATAAGTGAATTTAATGAAAAGGGCTCGTGAGACGGCCCACCTATCCTCCTTTTTATAAATTCACCAACACGATCAAATACGTATATCAAATATCGTAAAACGAAGTTTCACACATGCATATACACACACATATATACATATATAGATGCACTGACCAAATGATTCCACATAATATCATATCAATATCAGAATCAGAATCACATGCAACATAAATACCTAATTTCTTAAAATTAGATTTAATTCCCTACTGCTTACCTCCTACCGATACTTTCTAGATTTTATAACTTCATCCAAATCTCCTCCAACGTACACCTGTCCCATTATTTACTCAAATCAGATGAGCTTTATGCTTATTCTCAGGAGCTACCTGCTTATTCAAAAGCTAATTTCTATAATTAACTCGTCGGGCTCCAAACTTTTATATTTAGTAGAATATGATATTCTAGCTATAAAATCCTTCTACCTCATAATATTTATATTGCCCGATTATTAAATAAAAATACGCAAAGGTATGAACAAGCAGGCAGGTGCAATATACTGCCGTTTTCCATTCGGCTCGGATCGATACGAAATTCTCAGAATATAATACTAGGACTACGAATAGGCTATCAGCTAAAAAATTCGTCGATTAAATAGTCAAATAGCCGGTTATGAATTTTTGAAGAATTTCTAATTTAATACTCCAATATCAAAATTCGTATTAAAATTTATAATCGGACTCTACGAATAGCAAGGAATACCATACCCAAGTCGGAATTGGAATCGGATGGCTAAATCTTTTTATTTCTTTCTTTTCTTTTTCTCCTTTCTTCTCCTTCGCGTTTCTTCCTCTGCCTTTCTTCGCAGGTAAGTTTGTTATATATATATAATTATATTATTATTATATATATTATATTATATTATATTATTATTATTAACGTTATTATTATTATTATTATTATAAATATTATCTTCATCATCATTACTTTTATTATTATATTATTATTATATATTTTATATTTATATTTATCGATATTTATCCGTTTACAGTCTATTTAATTATAACTAATATACAAAATTGGAATATAATTTATCCCAAAATATTAGTTTCTTGATTCCATTACTATTGTCAAATATTTATTTGCTATAATAATATTATTTTATACATTCCGAAATCGGGGCATTACAATCCACTCCCCCTTAAAAAGATTTCGTCCCCGAAATCTAAACTCAAACACATAACAAGGCAACTTAATTAAACAATTGTGGGTATGCTTTGAACATTTCTTGTTCTACTTCCCACGTGGCCTCTTCCGCTCCATGTCTGGACCACATTACTTTCACCATACGAATATCTCGATTCCTCATGGTTCGGACCTTTGTGTCCATGATCCACAGAGGCTTTTCTTCATACGAAAGATCTTCATTCAGCTCTATCTCATCTGGAGATAAAATATGAGAAGGATCTGCAACATACCTACGAAGCTGAGATATATGAAACACATTATGGATACGCTCCATAGAATTTGGAAGTGCCAACCGATAGGCCCAATCACCAACTCGATCGACAATTTCATAAGGTCCAACATAACGCGGACTCAACTTTCCTTTAATCCCAAACCTTCTAATACCTTTCATTGGGGATACTTTCAATAAGAGAAAATCTCCACTTTGAAATTGACCCTCACGTCGGGCTCTATCGGCATAACTCTTTTGACGATCTTGAGCTGCCTTCATCTTTTCTCTGATAATTCGAATCTTATTTTTCGATTCCTCAATCATTTCCGGACCCAGTATCAGTCGATCACTCATATCGTCCCAACTCAAAGGAGTTCTGCATTTTCGACCATAAAGAGCTTCAAAAGGAGCCATTCCGATACTTGCTTGATGGCTATTATTATATGAAAATTCCACTAAATCCAAGTGGTCTTCCCAACTCCCTTGAAATTCCATAGCACAAGCTCTTAGCATATCTTCCAGAATACGGATAGTTCTTTCTGACTGACCATCAGTCATAGGATGGAATGCAGTACTCATATGCAACTGAGTACCAAAGGCTTCCTGCAATTTTTGCCAAAATCGAGATTGAAAACGTGGATCACGATCTGATATGATCACCTCAGGAATACCGTGTCGTTTAACCACATAATGAACATATAATTTGGCCAATTTCTGCATACTCCAAGTCACACGTACTGGAATGAACACTGCTGACTTGGTCAATCTGTCTATAATTACCCAAATTGCATCTGTTCCCGACTTTGACCTTGGAAGTCCTGTTACAAAATCCATTGCGATAGAATCCCATTTCCAGAGTGGAACTTCTAAAGGTTGTAGCAACCCCATTGGTCTATGATGTTCTGCTTTTACCTTTTGACAATTTAAACATCGTGCAACAAATTTGGCTACATCCTTCTTCATGCCCTTCCACCAAAAATGTTGACGTAGGTCATGATACATTTTATTTCCCCCCAGTTGCACTGAGTATGGTGTATTATGAGCCTCACTCATAATCTGCTCTTTCAAATCATTTCGATCCTTTGGGATACACCACCTCCCGTGAAATCGAAGACTCCCATCTGGAGCAATATTAAAATTTTGAGTCTGACCGTACTGAACTTTCACTGCAAGCTCAACCATTTTATTATCTTCCATTTGAGCCGCTCTAATGCGATCATAAATTTCAGGCTCAACTTGTATCATTTGCAAATATCCCCGAGTCATACCCCGTCCAAGTACCTCAATTTCCATCCGCGCTAAATCTTGGCACAGTTCATCAGCAACCGACATGAAGCCCAAGTTATGCCTTGGTTTTCGACTTAAGGCATCGGCTACAACATTTGCTTTGCCTTCATGATACACAATTTCAAGATCATAATCCTTCACCAATTCTAACCATCTTCTTTGTCTTAAATTCAATTCTTTTTGGGTGAAGATATATTTCAAACTTTGATGGTCAGTAAATATTCTGCAATGGGCTCCATAAAGATAGTGTCTCCAAATCTTCAAAGCAAACACCACTGCTGCCATTTCCAAGTCGTGTGTCGGATAATTCTCTTCGTGAGGTTTTAGTTGTCGTGATGCATAAGCAATAACTCTTTGATTCTGCATTAAGACACATCCCAATCCCTGCTTCGAAGCATCACTATACACTTCAAACTCCTCACCTTCCACTGGTAAAGCCAAAATTGGCGCTGAAGTTAATCGATGTTTCAATTCTAAAAAGGATGACTCACACTCGTGATCCCAGTTAATCTTTGCATCCTTTTTCAGCAAATTAGTTAATGGTTTTGCAATCTTCGAAAAATCAAGAACGAATCGCCGATAATATCCTGCCAAACCCAAAAAGCTTCTTACTTCTGATTGATTGGTAGGTCTTGGCCAATCCAAGATTGCCGCCACTTTAGAAGGATCTACTGAGATACCCTTTCCAGAAACAACATACCCCAAGAAAGCAACCTCCTTCAACCAAAACTCGCATTTGGATAACTTGGCATATAACTTTCTTGCACGCAATATGTTTAATATTACATGCAAATGTTTTGCATGCGTCTTTTTATCTGGGGAATAGACCAAGATATCGTCAATAAATACCACCACAAACTGATCGAGGTATGGTTGAAAAATTCTATTCATCAACTCCATAAACGCAGCCGGGGCGTTAGTCAACCCAAAGGACATAACCGTGAATTCATAATGCCCGTATCTAGTCCGAAAAGCTGTCTTCGGAATGTCATGCTCTGCAATCCTTAGCTGATGATATCCAGATCTCAAGTCAATCTTTGAGAATATAGTTGCACCTCTCAGTTGATCAAATAGATCATCAATCCTCGGAAGAGGATATTTGTTCTTCACCGTGACTTTGTTCAGTCCACGGTAGTCAATACATAACCTCAAACTTCCATCCTTCTTTTTCACAAATAAAACTGGAGCTCCCCAAGGCGATGTACTAGGCCGAATGTAACCCTTATCTAGCAATTCCTGTAGTTGCAATTTAAGTTCAGCTAGTTCTAAAGGTGCCATCCGGTATGGAGCCCTTGATACTGGCTCAGCACCCGGCACAATATCAATAGTAAAATCCACCTCACGAGCTGGTGGCATACCCGGAATGTCATCAGGAAATACATCAGGAAAATTTCGGACTACAGGAATATCTTGCAATCGCTGCTCCCCTTGCGTCAAATCTCTTACCTCACACAGATATACTGGAAACCCCTTACGAATAAATGATTGAAATGATAGGGATGAAATTACCTTCATAGAAGGTTGTCTGGCAGATCCTGCATAATTCACCTGTTCGCCCATCGCTCCAACCAGCGAAATTGATCTTTTTCGACAATCAAATTGAGCTTGATATGCCACTAACCAATCCATCCCCAATATTACATCGAACTTGGATAGCTTGATGCCCAACAAGTTAGTAACAAAATCAACCCCTTCAATACTAACCGGAATCTGCATATAAAGCTCTCGGCATTCCAACACTTCTCCTGATGGAAGTAAAACTTCCACTACCACTTCTACTGATGAATTCAGACCCAATCGTCTAACTAGACGCTTAGATATGAACGAGAACGTTGCACCCGAATCGAATAACACAAGAGCAGGAAAACCGCAAACCAGAAATCTACCCGTTAAAACCTCACCTGGATGATAATCAGCTTCTGCTTGGGTAAGAACATTTATTCGTCCACGCTGGTCAGATCCTCTGCCTGGCTGCCTAGATGACGAACGTGACTGACTTCGTCCCCCTCGCCAAGATGATCCTAATCCTCTCCCTTGTGACTGCGAAGACGGCGGCTGCCATGGCCTAAACCTCGGTTCTGGAAACTCCCTTGCAGTTACCACACTTGGACATAACCTGGCAATATGACCACTACCACCACATTTAAAACATGTCAATGGAACTTTATCACAACGAGTACCTGGGTGGCTTGTTCCACAACGCCGACAAACAGCCCCCGATTGCTGAGACCTCTCCTGACTCGGTTCATTAATCGAAATCCCCTTATACGATGGCCCAGACCTAAACATCTGCCACCATTTCTTTTTACCCTTGGGTTCATCCTCCACTTTAGCTTTTCCCTTATCTCGAACCTGATGTTGATAACCTATTTCCTTCTCACTCTCCTTTTGTCTGACTTCCTGCTTCTGATAAAATCGGGCAGCACGCTCGTAAGCCTCATACAATGAACTGATATCCAACACCGCTAAAGCTTCTTGAATTCTGTGTTGCAACCCGTCTACAAAATGGTCAATTCTGTCTCGCTCACAGGAAAAGTAGTCAGGAACATACATTTCCAACTCATTAAATTTCACAAAATAATCCTCAACTGACATCGAGCCCTGCTTTAAGTCCAGCAATTCTTGCTTCTTCGCTTTTCGAATATGCGACGGTATAAACCTAGCCTTTAACTTTGCTTTAGATTCATCCCAAGTCATATCCACTTGGTCTACACCTGCAGCTTCTTCACCTAACCACCACCGATTTGCTCGGCCTTCCAAGAAATAGGCTCCAATATTAACTCGTTGATCTGGCGGAACCTGAACAACACGAAATATCTTTTCCATCTTTTCAACCCAAAACTCAAGGACTCCTGGCTCCACTGAACCAGAATATGTTGGTGGGTTATGCCGCATCACAGCATCAATGAAACTCCTCTGTTGAGGCATCATCGCGGCCATAAACTGCCGAAAGAAATCCTGACTAGGTGCCTCTGTTGGTACATGCGCTGGCACAGGATACTGTGACTCATCAGACGAAGGATCAAACTCTGGGCCTTGAATAGCCCTACGCACACCACCACCTCGAGAATTCGACATACTGCCCCCAATTTTTCCTGATTCAATATCAATTCAGCACACAGCTAAACCAAGCATAACAATAAAAGATAGATCACATTAACATGAATGCACCCGCAAAACCCAAACCTCACCAAACCAATTCAATATCATTATTATTTTCAAAACCTTTTTAATTCAAAGAGCCAAAATCTATCAAACCTAGGCTCTGATACCAACTTGTAACACCCCCAGTTGGCTCATACTGGAAATGCTACCGCCGCACTGCATCATGAGGTCGTCACCTCCTACTTCGGGCCCCACAACACAGTGTTAAGGCTAAAATTAATTATATAAGCATTTTATTATTTCCAAAAAAACAAGTTTATAAATATTTCCCAAAACGGGAGGTTTTTCTAGTTAGAATTTACATATAATACATCAGATGCAGTTCACTCATTCAGCCCGTCTTTCTATCTCCCGAGACGTCCCCTGTCCCGGAGGTGCCATGCGTACCTGAATCAAATATTTTTCTTAAAAGCAGTCTAGAATTAAATCCATTTTAAGAACTAACATAAAATATGCCATGTCATGCTCGAAAATAGAGTTTAATTTCCGTCATTTGCAAAATAAATGCCATGCCATGCCCATACTGAAATGATGTAACAATAATGTCAAAATCGACAACTCATGCACATATACCCATATACATATGTCAAAGTGAGCAGCCGGAATAACCTCGGCTCCATAATAACAGCTCACTAGACTATCATCAATAAATAGCCGGAAAATCCTCGGCTCAAGGAAGGACCTGGTAAACCCATAATAATATAACGGTCACCCGGTCACTCCCCTATACCCACCATACGACTCCCGCAATCAATACATGGATAGTCGAGCGTGGTCGCCATTAACCACAAGACACCCCATAGTCTGTGATAGCGAAGATAGGACCCTCCTGTCTAGCCCTACCCCGTGTAACGTAGTAGAATCTGTGCAACCTGGAATCACCCGAAGGAAACCCGGAAACTCTACTCCTCCTCGCACGCCCTAACGGGATCGCGTTTGGAGTTTGGCATATGATCCTAAACTACCGGTAGACCTCACTAGTAGCTACTCCAATGAGTGGAACAACACCGAACCCGAATGATTAGACCAAATACGTCTCAACTGCAATGGGTCTAATCCCTGAATGACCGTGCGACTAAGTCACCCAGTTGCCCGACTACTATCGTCCACTATCGCCAAAGTGTTACGGTACATCGGGGTCGAATATCCTAACCCCAGATGATGCCCTCGCCTAGCACTACCGCACACGGCGACTAAACGATAGATCCATAAAACATATCCGATAAATCGTGCGATGTGTGCAGCATGTCAATAAGTGAATTTAATGAAAAGGGCTCGTGAGACGGCCCACCTATCCTCCTTTTTATAAATTCACCAACACGATCAAATACGTATATCAAATATCGTAAAACGAAGTTTCACACATGCATATACACACACATATATACATATATAGATGCACTGACCAAATGATTCCACATAATATCATATCAATATCAGAATCAGAATCACATGCAACATAAATACCTAATTTCTTAAAATTAGATTTAATTCCCTACTGCTTACCTCCTACCGATACTTTCTGGATTTTATAACTTCATCCAAATCTCCTCCAACGTACACCTGTCCCATTATTTACTCAAATCAGATGAGCTTTATGCTTATTCTCAGGAGCTACCTGCTTATTCAAAAGCTAATTTCTATAATTAACTCGTCGGGCTCCAAACTTTTATATTTAGTAGAATATGATATTCTAGCTATAAAATCCTTCTACCTCATAATATTTATATTGCCCGATTATTAAATAAAAATACGCAAAGGTATGAACAAGCAGGCAGGTGCAATATACTGCCATTTTCCATTCGGCTCGGATCGATACGAAATTCTCAGAATATAATACTAGGACTACGAATAGGCTATCAGCTAAAAAATTCGTCGATTAAATAGCCAAATAGCCGGTTATGAATTTTTGAAGAATTTCTAATTTAATACTCCAATATCAAAATTCGTATTAAAATTTATAATCGGACTCTACGAATAGCAAGGAATACCATACCCAAGTCGGAATTGGAATCGGACGGCTAAATCTTTTTATTTCTTTCTTTTCTTTTTCTCCTTTCTTCTCCTTCGCGTTTCTTCCTCTGCCTTCCTTCGCAGGTAAGTTTGTTATATATATATATAATTATATTATTATTATATATATTATATTATATTATATTATTATTATTAACGTTATTATTATTATTATTATTATAAATATTATCTTCATCATCATTACTTTTATTATTATATTATTATTATATATTTTATATTTATATTTATCGATATTTATCCGTTTAACAGTCTATTTAATTATAACTAATATACAAAATTGGAATATAATTTATCCCAAAATATTAGTTTCTTGATTCCATTACTATTGTCAAATATTTATTTGCTATAATAATATTATTTTATACATTCCGAAATCGGGGCATTACAGATGACATACTAATCTATAGCCCAGGTTTAGAGAAGCACTTGCAGCACTTTAATAAAACACTTCAGTTACTGCAAGAGAGTTGTTTTGTGGCAAATCGCAAGAAGTGCACATTTGGCAGCCTAAAGGTGGAATATTTGGGGCATATTATCTCTTCCGATGGAGTCTCCATGGACCCGGCTAAGATACAGGCTGTTCGGGACTGTGAAATTCCGCATTCGACTAAGGCCGTTCGTGGTTTTCCAGGGTTGTCTGGATATTATCGACGGTTTGTGCAATATTATGGTAGCATCGCTCATCCATTGACTGATCTCCTGCGTAAGGAAGCTGTAGAAAGGAAGTTTTTCGTGGCCACCATCAGCACAGGCTGCCTTCGATAAATTAAAGCAGGCCCTTATCACAGCCCTTGTGCTTGCAATGCTGGATTTTAATAAATTATTCATCGTAGAGTGTGATGCCTCTGGCTCCGGCATAGGTGCGGTACTTATGCAAGAGGATAGGCCTATAGCTTATTTCAGTAAGGCGCTGGGAGATAGAGCTCGAGGGAAATCAGCCTATGAACGAGAATTGATGAGTTTAGTGCTTTCCATACAACATTGGCGTCCATATCTGATTTGCCGCCATTTCACGGTACATACGGATCATCATAGTTTGCGCCATCTACTCTCTCAGAAGATTGGTACTCCCGCTCAGCAGTCTTGGATAGCCAAACTTCTTGGTTATTCCTTCAATGTGGTTTATAAACCAGGTCGTATCAATGCTGCTGCTGATTCCCTTTCCCGCAGGCATGAGCTTTCATTGTTGTCTCCTGATCAGGTGCAGAGGCTGGCTCCCACCGAAACAGCTCAGTTTTCTGCGATTTCTTCGCTGCACTGGCCAGCTGCAGATGAGCTTGTGGCCGAGCAAAAATCTGACCCGGCATTGCAGGTGATTATTCAAGATCTTATCTCAGGGAACAAATCGCATCCTTATTATGAATATCGACAAGGAATTTTATTGTATCGAGGGCGCTTGGTGTTGTCGGCAACCTCCCCATGGATAGAAAAATTGTTGGAGGAATTTCATGACACCCCACTTGGTGGTCACGCGCGATTACACCACACCTACCGACGATTGACGGCTTCTGTGTATTGGGCAGGAATGTATCGCCGAGTTCGTAAATATGTTGAACAATGTCTCACTTGCCAGAAGGCTAAATACGAGACGCTTTCTCCTAGAGGACTTCTGCAGCCCCTTCCTATCCCGGAGGGAGTTTGGGAAGATTTAGCAATGGATTTCATCACTGGCCTTCCTCAATCTTTGGGATTCTCTTGTGTCTTGGTAGTCGTCGACCGACTCAGTAAATATGGGCACTTTATTGCACTACGGCGTCATTACACCGCCACCTCCATTGCCGAGATCTTTGTCAAGGAGATAGTTCGTCTACATGGAATGCCGCGTACAATAGTTAGCGATCGCAACCGAAATTTTATGAGTTCCTTATGGCAAGAGATGTTTCGTTTACAGGGCACAAAATTATTTTTCAGCTCGGCGTATCACCCGAAAACTGACGGCCAAACTGAAGTCTTGAACCGCACAGTAGAGACATACCTTCGCTGTTTTTGCTCGGAACAGCCCCGAAAATGGGCAGCCTGCCTTCCATGGGCTGAGTTATGGTACAACACCTCCTTCCACACTGCCGCTGCCACAACGCCCTTCTCAACCGTCTATGGTCGACCGCCACCCACATTGTATAGCTTCTTGCCAGATGAATGCCGAGTTGCTGCAGCTTCGGAGTTACTTGGCAGCCGTGAGGCAGTTTTGCGACAGTTGAAACACCACTTGGAGCATGCTCAACATCGCATGGTGCGTACAGCTAACGCCCATCGCCGTGAGCTCACCTTCCAGGTTGGTGACTTGGTATTCTTGAAGGTCAGACCCTATCGCCAAGGCAGCTTGCGCCAGGGAAAGGTAGGAAAGGTCGCATATAAGCTGGATTTGCCAGCCACTATCGATAGGGAAAGGTAGGAAAGGTAAGAAAGACCCTATCGTTAAAAGATTCTTTAACGTCGGATCAGCGAAGAATCTCTGCAGTCGAGCACTGACACAAGTTTCTCCGGAGAGTCAAAGTCGACGACGAAGTTCTCCGGATTGAATTATATGTAAAGAGCCTTTAACAGAAAGGAAGAGATTGAGCACGCGCAAGAACAAAAATGTGATTAGCCCACCAATTTTGAGTGCAAAAGTCCCTTGGAATCAAGTTTAGCCGTTGCCGGGGATCAAGCCCGGGTCATCCACATGAGAGGCGGGAATGCTCACCAATATACTACAACGACTTGATTGGTTAACTGTTTTTATTGTCTTATTTATTACTATATAACATAACTGTATGGAAGGATACAGAAGTGTATGGAAAGCTTGCAAAAGGACAAAGCCCAAAGGTAAGAAACATGTAATGGAATAATTAGCATATCACCTTGACAGCGATTGAAGTTAGTTATTGATTGAAATTACAGTTCATGGTGTTCGCATGCTCTGATTCCCAAATATGCCCTTTCCATGTTCGAAGTTTGAGTTTGCTTTTGATTTTGATTCTGGATTCGGTTTTGGATCTTGAGGAGATGATTTCCCTCTTAAGTTGGGCTAATGTTTGATTTGGTCCTCCAGATTCAGATACAGATTCAGATTTGGGATCATGTGTGGTTGATTTCTGAGCATCCCCCAGGGAATCACCTGCATTAGAAGGAGATGCAGTGGTGGAATCGCGTTGAATCTGCGACAACTTCATTCTGCGGCGGAATTAAGAAAAGCGAGCAGCCCAGTTATATATGAAACTCAAGTGAGGAGAAGATCCATATATAGACAGAGAAAGAGACTGCGAGTCTGTGTACTTTCTGTTCTGTGTCAGTGGAGCGAATGTTTGGGAGATAAGTCCTAGGTCAAATAATATTCAACATATTTTATTTTTTCCATGAAATATCTTTTTTGTTCAAATATAATATATATTCACATAATTAATACTATATAATAAATATATATGTAATTTGTCACACTCATGGATTATAATATGTGACCAGTATTACTTTGTCTTAATAGTAACACTAGCTATATAAGATTGGTAATGAGATTTGAAGTTTTATTTCCTTTTTTCTTTAAATGTGTAACTAATTTATGCCAAATATACTTTCTAACAAAAGTTGATAGCGAAATGAGATAATACTTTTTTAAATCACCATAAGAGGCCAAGAAAACAGAGAGAATAGAATTAATTTTTTTTTAAAAAAAAAATACAAAGAAAAATGATATATAATATTTTTTTTAGAAGTAAAGTTTTCTGAAGTTTTTTGTTCGTCTGCAAAATGTCAAACGGAAGTTCTTCAATTCAATCATTAATTCCAATCTTCAAAGGAGAGAAGTACCATCTTTCGAGTTTGAAAATGAAGACTTTATTCAAGTCTGAATAATTGTGGGATTTGGTTGAAATTGGATTTGATAACCCAGACCCGGCTCCCGCAGCACCTGATCAACAATTGCGGGAAAATCATGGAAAAGATGCAAAGGCATTGCTACTCATCCAATTGGCATTAGAGGATGATATTTTTTCCCGTATTGCAGCTGCGAGAACATCCAAGATGGCATGGGATATTCTGAAGCAAGAATATTTGGGTGACGACAAAGTACTTCTGATTAAATTGCAAATCCTTCGGCGTGATTTTGAAACACTGAGTATGAAAGAAAAATAATCTGTCCAAGAATATATGTCACGTGTTTCTGGTATCGTCAACCAGATGAAGTGTTATGGAGAATCTGGATCGGTCAGTGATCAGATTGTTGTCAGTAAGATTCTCAGAAGTTTGATTCCAAAATTTGATAACGTTGTTGCTGCAATTGTGAAAAGTAAGGACTTTTCAACGTTTACACTTGATGAATTGATGAGTTCTCGCATGAAGCAAGATTGAACAGATTCTCTGAAAAATCAGAAGAAAAAGCGTTTCAGATTAAGGGGGAGAGTTCAAAGGGAAAGTCTGAATTTTCTGTAAATCGTGGTCACGGCAGAGGTAGCTTTCGAGGACGAGGTCGTGGTGGAGGCAGGGGCAGGTCTTCTGAACCACGCCAATTAAAAAATAATTATCAATGTAGATATTTTAACAAGTCAGGGCATAAGGAGGCTTATTGTTGGGCAAAGCAGAAGGATGAACACAAGCAGACAAATTTTACCGAGCAAAAACAAGAAAATTATTTATGACACATTCATTGATGTGTGGTGATGAAAATAAAGATATTTGGTTTGTGGACAGTGGTTGCTCAAATCACATGTCGGGAAATAAATCTTTATTCAAAGATCTTGATGAAACACAAAAAGAGAAGTTCGACTTGGCGATGGAAAGAAAATGAATTTGAAGGAAAAGGTACAATTATTGTGAAAACAATTCAAGGTGATTTTCGTCTTCTCCATCATGTGCAAGACACTAGCGACTATCTGTATGACAAGAAGTTATGTGACCGATCTTGGAGATCTTCAAAGTTCTTGGAGCTTGTACATGCTGATTTATGTGACAAACCCGGGTCGCCAGTGTGACCGGCGGGAATACTCACCACTATACCACTTGATTGGTCAACAGTTTTTGTTGTCATATATATTAGTATATAACATAATAGAAAAAAGAAAAAAA